TGCTTCCTGGGGGTATTATTATCTTGCAAAGGTCGCCCAATGAAATGCATTTACTACCTGCTTCGTCTTGCAAAGCACGGGAAGGTTATAAGGTAGATTCCGACTGTCAAACTGATCATGAGTGACATCCAAGGTCTTCTTCTTTATTCAATTTTTCGTTATTCAGTCTTATTTTCTCAAAATATTGGCCTTCCACTCGACTCGACCTTGGATGTGAGGCAGGCGAAACTCAAAAGTTATTGATTTTTATTTTGTAGAGCGGCAATTAATTTATGAAATTCACGAAACTATTCATTTAATTTTCAATATGACTAAATAATGTAACAATTTACGCGGGAGAGCCCACTTGAGGAGACCCATAGAAGGAAATAACGACGAAATTTCACGAGAGACAGAATAGTTAAACGTGTATACATGAAGTGTTTCGGTTGGGAAGGGAACTAAATAAAGAACCGAATACTTACAATTAATAATTAACAATTAGGTTTGTTCAAATAAAAGTTGAGTTAACGGTTTTGGTCGTTGAAGTAAATAGAAAGGCTATTTAATATGTCACCAGCTCTTCTCTGTGTAGCTACCAAAACCAGACTAATCCAATTTACNAATTTACGCGGGAGAGCCCACTTGAGGAGACCCATAGAAGGAAATAACGACGAAATTTCACGAGAGACAGAATAGTTAAACAGTCTATACATGAAGTGGTTCGGTTGGGAAGGGAACTAAATAAAGAACCGAACACTTACAATTAATAATTAACAATTAGGTTTATTCAAATAAAAGTTGAGTTAACGGTTTTGGTCGTTGAAGTAAACAGAAAGGCTATTTCATATGTCACCAGCTGTTCTCTGTGTAGCTACCAAAACCAGACTAATCCAATTTACCTCTTACATTTCTTTTCCTCGAATTTTCGGATCGACGACAACAGTGCAATAAGAAGGAAAATGACAGACGATCGAAAATTCGAGGAAAAAGGGAATCAGAGGTAAATTTGTAGGTGTCATTGGCCTCTCGATCTCCGGTAATTATTATTGAGGAGTCTTCAGTACGGTATTGTTGTATGTGTGTATGTAGCAGACGCTACATGTCTCCCCTGCTTAGTAAAAACGCAGTTTTTCGGTTGTGATGGGGGAACTAAAACAAAAAGAAAAAAAAATACACAGAACACAGCGTGGCCAAAGCCAGTACAAATTTGGAGAAAAGAACTACATAGTCAAAACAAAGCATTGAATTATGTATGCGAGAAAAAAAGTAAGTTAATGTTGAAAATAAGGTTGAAGGCAGAATTGAAAATCGGGGTAATTTTTGAGATTTGCGAAATTCAGTGGTTAGTGAAAAAAAATTTTGAGATCGGTTCCAAATCGAAATCAAAAACTTGGACTGGAAATTCGAATTTGGAATTGATGTTTGAAGTTAGTTACTTAGAGCAATAATAGAAGAAAAATTTAGTCGCTGAACTCGCGGACCTGATTGTTACGAGCAAAGCGCACTGCCTTCTTTGCCCTCTTGTTTCTCGTGGAAGTGGTCGTCCCGGTGCTCGTGGTCGGTTGCGGAGAGTCGTTTACTGCGGCCGGTTTTGATTGTTGCTGTTGCTGCTGTTGTTGCTGCTGCTGACTGCTCTCTGGTACGTCGTCCGGGAGAGAGTACACCGGTTTGAGACGGTCGATAGAGATTGATGTCTCCACCAGACGGTTGAAGCGGCGTGCGACCTTGGGCGGCGGCATCAGGAGCACGAAATGCTTGGTGTGCTTGCTGACGATGCGGTAAGGCCCATCGTAGGGCGACGAAAATGATTGGCGTACTTGGTCGTTACGCACTAAGACGTGTGAGCAGGTGGCCAGATCCTTGTACACGAAGGTTGCTCGCATGCCATGGATGGACATTGTTGTTGGCGTCAGCTTCCTGAAGTGAGCTCGAAGGTTCTCTACCAATTCCGGGGCAACGGTATTTCTGTCCGGAGGGGTGAAGAATTCTCCTGGCACTCTGATTGATTCACCAAACGTAAGCTCGGCAGGCGTCATTCCAATGTCCTCTTTCCACGCTGTTCTTAATCCCAATAACACAATTGGTGAGGCGTCGTACCAACTGTCCCCACGGCAGAGCAGCGCCGATTTCAATTAGCGATGTAGCCTCTCGACCAGCCCGTTTGCAGCTGGATGATAGGGTGTTGTCAGGATTCGTTTGGAACCAAGTGATTCAGCCAGTTTCTTAAGGACGTCAGACTGGAATTGAGCTCCTTGGTCAGTGGTGATCCTCAGAGGAACGCCGAACCTCGCGATCCAGTGAAACAACAGGGCACGAATGACTGTGGTCATGTTGTTTCCTGGCAGAGGAACGGCCTCCGGGTACCAGGTGAACCTGTCGATGATGGTGAGACAGGATCGAAAGCCCTGCGATAGAGGGAGTGAAACAAGGTCGATGTGAATGTGCTCGAAGCGCTGAGATGGTGCTTCAAACTCGGCGACATGAGTTGTCACATGCGTGACCTTGTTCCGCTGGCACTCCATACAGCATTTCGCCCATTCTCCGGCATCCTTGTTGATGGATGGTCACACGTAGTGCTTTGCGATGAGTTTCCGGGATGCTTTTCCTTCCGGGTGAGCCAGCGAGTGCAGCGACTGAAAAATCTGCCTCCGGAGAGGCGCTGGGACGTATGGCCTGACTGTACCTGATGAAACATCACAGTACAGCGTCGTGTTGAACTCAGGAAAACGGATTTTCTTTAGCTGTAGGTTGTTGTCGGTGTTCTGAAGGAGCTGCTGCAGTTCCGGGTCCTCTTGTTGTTGACGTGCCAATTCCTCATTGCTGACGGTGGCCGCGACTTCTTCTATCCTGGAGAAACCGTCGGCGACGACGTTTTCTGCCCCAGAGACGTGGCGGATGTCGGACGTGAACTGGCCGATGTAATCCAGACGCCTGAACTGCCAGGGTGAGGCCCGCTCTGGCTTCTGGTCGAAAGCGTGCACCAGGGGCTTGTGGTCCGTGAAGATAATGACGTCTGGCCAACGGCTGCCACGAACCCTGTTGACGTTGCTGAAGGACGGCTCCCACGGCGTGGTCGGATGCATCGGCGAAGATTGCCCATTCTGTATGTGGATCCAGGTAAGCTAGCTGCGTAGCTTGTGCCAAAGCCTGTTTGGCGGGTTGGAAAGCTTCTTCGAGAGCTGGCGTACACTCGACTGGGTGTCCTCTTTTGATTTTCGGGCCCTGGAGGACCTCATATAGCGGTGCGAGCATCTCGGCGGCTCCTTTGATGAATTTCCTGTAGAAATTCAGCATTCCCAGGAAACCGCGAAGCTTTTTCACCGTGGGTGGCTGAGGGAACTCCAGGATTGCACTGACCCTGTCCTACGGAGGCTTGATTCCAGCACTGCTGACGGTGTGGCCCAAGAAGACGACTTCCTTTTGATCCAGGAAGGACTTGGCCACATTGATGATCAGCCCGTAGTCCTGGAGACGTTGGAAAAGAATCCTCAAGTGCTCGCCATGCTCTTCCTCGTCGACTGAGGCCACGACGATGTCGTCTATGTATGGAAAAACGATAGGCAAATCCCATGTGACCTCGTCGATGAACCACAGGAAGGTTTGAGCGGCATTGCGGAGCCCGAACGTCATGTAGGGGAACTCGAACAGGCCGAACGGCGTGATGATGACCGTCTTCTCGATATCATCTGGGTTGACAGGTATCTGGTTGAACGCCTTCACCAGGTCGATCATGGGAAAGATGTGTTTCCCATGTAGATTGGTGGAGAAATCCTCCAGGTATCTGACAGGATACCGGTCGGGGATCGTTCTAGCGTTCAGCGCCCTATAATCGCTACAGGGTCTCCACTCGCTGTTCTTTTTCGGGGCCAAGTGCAGAGGTGATGACCAGGGACCTTGTCCACGCCTAGCGATACCGAGCTACAGCATGCTGTGGAACTCCGCTTCGGTGATCTTCAGTTCGTCTGGCGCTAACCGCCGTACGCGACTGGAAATCGGCGGTCCAGGTGTTGTCCGGATGTGGTGGACCGTGCTGTGCGGCGCCGTCTTCCGTTGTAAACCGCCGGGTTTTGTGATCGCCAGGAACTCGTTCAGAATTGCCGCGAATGGAGAGTCTGCGCTGATTGATTGCACCTTGACCGACATTACCTTGCAATTCAAAACTCCGGTCGAAGTCGTGAGCCCGGTGGTTCCGTCAAGGAGACATTTGTTCGTCAGGTCAGGTAGCAGGTGAAAATGCGCCGGGAAGTCAGCCCCAATGATGGCCTTGGTCACGTCTGCCTCCATAAACTGCCAGGTGAAATCCCTGCAGAGACCAAGATCAGGAGCTATTGAGATACATCCGTAGGTTCTAATCGGCATGCCGTTCGCTGCAGCTAGCTGAAATCCAGTGAAAGTCCGGAGGGCCTGAGGCCGCCTGCAGGGAACAGCCGACACATCCGAGCCTGTATCGATTAGGTACTGGACGCCGGTTGTCCTGACCTTGATGAAAAGGCGGCAGGAATGAGACTGAGAATCACTTACCGCCTCTAGTGACTCCCGTTTGCTTTTCCGTGGCACTTACAGCCGGGTAGGAAGTTCTTCGCCCTATCACCGAATTTCCAGTGATACCAGCAGTCATCGAATTTGGTGGACATTTTACGAGAACGTGAGCTGCTTGCCGATCTACCCCTGGGACCGGGTCTGCTCTTGGAGCGTGGCCTCGACTGCCGCTCTCGCAGGGAACTGATGGTGGCCGTGAGTGCTGCAACCTGCTTCGTGAACTGAGCGATGTCCTGTTGCAGGTTCGGTGCGCTGGAGACAACGCAAACCAAGGCCGGGTGATACACCGCGTGGATGCGATCGGCTAACTCGGTGAGGGAATCGATGTCCTGTGATGTCTGCCCTGCAACGATGCCACGAATCTGCACCTTCAACACCTCCTCGTCGATACCTGACACTAAGCTTTTCAGGTGGCGAAAATGTTGAGACGGTTTGCGATCTCCAAGGCTCTCTCTGTCGAGCAATTGGAGATACGCAGCCTCCCTAAATTTCGAAAAACAGCTGATCAGTTTATTTCTCAGGGTCTGGTAGGGAACATCGGCAGGTGGGCGTAGGATTAGGTCCTCAACCTCGGCTGCCGATTTAGTGTCAAGAAGGGAGATCGTGCGATAAAACTTGTCTACCTCTCTCAGCACTCCCTTGTTCCGGAACTGGGCTTCCAGCAGGCCGAACCACAGAGAGATCACCGCCGTGGTCGTCGTCACTCCACCCATGCTAGCGGCTGTTGTGATGGACATGTTCAGCTCAGGTATTTAAATTTCTCGGAAGAGAAAAGGCTAATAAGAGTCTTTTTCTGTCTCACTGGCACAACACAACGTCTATAGGTGTTCAGCAATGCGCCAGCGTTGCCGAGAAACACACAAAAAAAAACAAAAACTCTCGTCAAAACAGGTGTACACGCGGTTGTAAACAAAACGATTGACCGCCCGCTTACGGGGATTAGGCAAGGTCAGCGGCTCAAAGTCGAACCGACGCGTCGAAAGTTCTGGAAGGTGCAAAAAGATGCCCTATTGCCCCTCCCGCGACGCTGAACAACTCCTGCACAAATACTGAGGGAAGAAAAAGAACAAAAAAAAAAGAAGAAAAACTCCGCGAAAATGCATCATACGATGTCTCGCACTCGCTGCACGTTAGATTAACCAGGGGGCTAATTAACAGAGCAAAAACGAACGCGCTGATCACTTTTCGCGAAAGAAACGATGATCTACGAAGTTCCCAAAACGAAGATTACGTCGGGGTCACCAATGAAGTGTTTTGGTTGGGAAGAGAACTAAATACAGAACCGAACACTTACAATTAATAATTAACAATTAGGTTTATTCAAATAAAAGTTGAGTTAATGGTTTTGGTCGTTGAAGTAAACAGAAAGGCTATTTGATATGTCACCAGCTCTTCTCTATGTAGCTACCAAAACCAGACTAATCCAATTTACCTCTTACATTTCTTTTCCTCGAATTTTCGGATCGACGAAAACAGTGCAATAAGAAGGAAAGGACAGACGATCGAAAATTCGAGGAAAAAGGGAATCAGAGGTAAATTTGTGGGTGTCATTGGCCTCTCAATCTCCGGTGATTATTATTGAGGAATCTTCAGCACGGTATTGTCGTATGTGTGTATGTAGCAGACGCTACATACATATTCATTACTTCCAATTTGACGTCAGAAACCGACTCTTATAATGACAGAAATTATGGCGGATTATAATAATTATTGACAGTTTAATGAATTATCAGTTATTGTGCGAAAAAATGATAAGACAACACAAGAATCGTTTGCAATGAACAACATACGATTTGACGAGTATGTTGTATGTTGTGTGTCGGCGAACCGTTTGCTTCCTAAAATCAATATTTTCACGCGTGCGCACTGGACAAGCTGATTGTTAGCAAATTCAAATCTGACAATAGGGCAATATGTGACTCAACATTTCATACCTATGCTTTCTGACAATGACGTTGTGTTACCTTCCTGTTACATAAAAGTTCTTTGGAACTTTCCAACCAGACGAATACCTGAAAAATCATGGCATTATAGAGACTGACCAATGAGAAGCTTGAAAGGGTTATAACTTCTCAGATATGCATCTCATTGGAGAGTTCAATGGAACTTTCAAGTTCAAGTGACAGTCGGAACTTACATTATATATAGTCAATGCATTTTCTTTGATCAACCTTTGTAAGATGATGATTCTCCAGGAAGCCTTGCATTGAAAAGTGGAATAGGAGCTCTTAACTCCAACTTTCACCTTCTATGGAGGTATTACGGGAAACCAGGCGAACAATTTATACAATAATCTATGCATAACCTTTGACACATCCATTCGCAGGTGGTTTTTTAGAAAATGAAGTGCAGGTTAGGAGGAGAAGAAGAGTGTTTGCCGGTAAAATCGTAATTTAAAGTCAGTGCGAATATTAGAGCCCTATTCACTACAACATTCATTATTATCGTAGTTATCGATCGCCAACTCATGCCTGAGGCACCCCAATCTGCAGAGCAGCGACGGCAGAGGGCAGCAAGATCTCGAGAGCGCCGCCGTCGTCCACCACTGCAAGCTCCTGTTACGGACAACCAGGTTTAGATTGGAGTGAGAGGGAGAGAAAATCTACCTGTCAGCTCTTACCTGACCGTCACTGGTCACGAACTGGTCGTCTCGATGATGATGAGGTTAACGATGTTATAATTACCTTCTTTTGTGAAATCTAGGGTGGGACCGTGATGTTCGGGATGAAGTATTAAAATACAACAACGATATTCCGCGTAAAGGAAAACACTGACCAAATTATACCGATTGCACTATTTATTTCGTAATTGGAGTAATTTCACGAAAACCCAGGGTAAAAACCGTCGGAGGGAAAACAGGAAAAGAGAGAAATAAATGAGTTGGATAATTGTGGACATAGACACTTACAGTTGGTGGAACGATTGGACAGGGAATTGGAAGGATTGCATTGGAAGGATTGCTCAGTTAACGCTCAGCGGAGGTTCAGTTGAATCACGTGACTCAGCTTGGCTCTGCGTGATGACCTTCGGTGGGTGGCGAGTGGGCGGTCGATAATCGAGTCACTCAACAGGGCCGGAGAGGGCCTAGGAGTTGGTCGTCCTCGCTGAAT